GTTTGTGGTCACAAATGCTGTTCATCTTCTCTTGTGTTGCTGATTATTTAAATATATCACAAACATTTGCATTTATTAAAAATTTTAATGCCATGACAGATGCAACTCCGTTCCATGGTGTCATCCATCCTGGTTTCCTTCTGTCTTCTCAGTTTTGCCAAAATCAGTAGCTCTTTTTTTCCCCCAGAGTTTAATAGTTGGTTATTTTGTTTCTAGCTACAGAACCTATGAATTCAGTTAACATTACCACATATCAGGCACTTTGTATTACAGATACACATTAATGAATAATACAGAGTATTCCATTTCACAGTTTACCCTATTATATTGTTTGATTTGTTAGTGGTTTAAATTGGCGGTTGGTAAAGTTTTTCTACAGAGGATCTGAGGGTACAAGCGCTTACTACTTAAACTCTGCCATTATAGAATAAATTAATGGGCATTTCCAGTAAAACCTTTGACAGTCCGAGATTTGGTCTGTGGGTTTTAATTTGCCAGCCCCTCCTCCAAATTAACAACATGTTTCCTTTATCAGTTGTCAGTGAAAATACATTTTCCTGCAGAAATGACTGCGTTCCTAGTGAGCCTGTTTCTTTTAAAATTTAATTTAATTTTAAAGACAGTCCTTATGGTTTCAACCATTTATTGAAGTGTTACTCTTATATCATCATTATTATCATCATTATTGTACTGGGAATTAATGCAGAACGTTTGTACTGAGCTATATCCCTGGCCTTTTTTTAAATTTTTGAGGCAAGGTCTTGCTGAGTCACTGAATTGCCCAAGCTGGGCTTGACCTGCCATCTTGCCTCTGGCTCCCAGAATGCTGGGATTGTGTGGTGTCATGCCTGGCATTATTTTAATTGTTTCTTTATTCTTTTTTCCCTCTCCAGGATCTTACTATGTTGCTTAGGCTGGTCTCAAACGATTCTCCTACTTTGTCTTTATCCTCCTGCAGGTGGGACCGCAGGTGTACCACTGTACCCCACGGTTCACCGTTTCTGCACCCAGTGCATTCACCGTTTGTTTAGCTGACTCTTGTCTCATATATCCATTTTTCCTTCATTACAGCTCCTGCTCCTTTTTTTATATTTTTCCTTTAAGTCTTACTCACTTTTAAAATTATACTTTGTATAATCCCCAAATCTGTGCCCCAGTCCATCCTTTTTAAATCAAGTGTTAACTCCAAATTGAACTTGTCTAAAACCTATACATTTAATGTGCTGTACTTAATTTCTTTGTGTTTGAAACCTTTTATTTTTTCCTCTGGTCTATTTTTAATCCATATTTAATCATAAATGAAGGCTATGAAAGTCCATAATAATACATGAAAAGTTGTGGAGGCAGCACAGATTATTTGGAATGTGGAAATACATATTTAGAATATGGCAAATTTGGCATTTCTTTTAGAATAATAGATCAAAAGGGACTTTATCAGCCATGAAAAGGATTTTCAGCCTGATTTTGTAGGTCGTATGGAGCTACTGGAGAATTTTGGATTCTCCAGGGGAAAAAGGTGGTTTCTGGGTAGAAGGGCATTGTATAAGACAATGAGTTCAGTTTTATAGGTGTTTCATTTGGGGGTGTCTGTGGGTTGTCCAACAGGCATGTGAAGGTCTGACTCTGAGGAACATTTTTAATTTAGAGAAACAGATGTGGAATGTACCAGGGTACAGGTGGTAGTTAAATCTGTATTTTAATTGAAACTACCCACAGATATGTAGAATAAGAAATAGGACAACCCTAATAATCATATTTTGGAGAGAAAGACATCAGGAAGGGAAGTAAAAAAAAATGGATGACTGAGAAATATCCCTTGAATTTGGCTGTGAGGTGATTAGTGATTTGTTTCAGGGGACTGGTTTGAATAGAAACCTGATTGCAATGAAAGTGAGTAAAAGGTGAGGTAATAGAGACAGGTACTACAGGAGTAAGATGCTGATGTGGAAGCAATTCAGTGCATCAGGGTATTTTGGATGAGAAGTTATAGGATATTGAATTTAAAAATGAGTTAAGTGATGAAAGGGATTTCTTTCTTTCTTTTCCTTTTTTTTTTTTTTTGAGAGGGATCTCTTGGGTTATCGAATGAAAAGTCCAGAGGGGAAGGCTGATGGTTAAAATGCCTTAGGATTTGCAGGCAGCGGTGGTGTGAAGACTAGTGAGTTTTAATATATCTCTGAGAGGAATAAATCTGGAAGCCTAGGCTAGATATGGGAGAAACTCAAAACAGGAAGAAGCTGATATTTAGGAATAAACACTGCTAAAGTCAGCTCAGAGGTCTAATTTAGTGTAAAGGACTGAAAACAGGAAGGTCATCGTTTTCTAATAAAGCCTCTCTATAGATATGTTAACGTAGCAGAGTTTTCCAGATAGGTGTTGTACATTTTAGGCTTTATAATCCTGGTGTTTTGTTGTAGGTATATTTATTTACTTGATAGCTCTTCTGGCATTAAGAAAAAATAAAACAGTAATTTCTGGCACTCTGAATACCACGTCGGTATTCACACAAAAGTGCCAACCTGGAGATACTTAGGAGAAACTTCCATTGTGTGTAGATGAAAGTAAAACTTGTTGACCTTGACAAATTTATGAGGTCATAAAAGTTTCCTCTTTTAATAAGAATGAATAATAATATCTTTTAATAATAATGAATATCTTTTAATAAGAATGAATAGCTATATTCATTCTCTTTTATTCTTTCCCACTTCCTTTTAGATTTAATTTCTTTTTCTTTCTAGATAGGAAAAGATGCTTTGTATATATTTATGTCACATATTAATTATCCTAGGTGGCTGAATTTTTAAAGTTTTTTAAGTTCACTGCTGTTGACTTTGGTATTAGATAGATTTGGGATATTTGAATTAGATAGATTTGGGATACTGTCATAGTAAAATATTAATTCAAAGCAATGTGAATGTCTTCAAATAATAACTCATTAAGAGTCTCATAATTTAAAACCTTGCAGGCTAAGTACATTGAAAAACACCATATAATTATATACTTTATGAGGATACGTCTTAAATTTTGGAGTTTTAAAATATATTAGGCTCTACCCTGCGTAGATTGAAAGTCTGTGTAAAGGAATTTCTGATAACTGGAAATACTTGGGGAGATTTGGAGGCGAAATGGGGCTTTCTTATTACCCCTAAAAGCATGTGATGTTAAAGATTAAATTTGCTTTAGTCATTTTAGGGTACTTGACTTAGAAAGGTTAAAATGATGGTTAGAAAAACTTCCTATCTTCCTTTTTTATTTCTATACCCATGACGATCCTCTTTCCCATGCTGGACCCCCTGGCTTTTTATAGCATGATAATCACACAAACCTACTAGAGGCAGTACATACAAGTATATACAAGATAAGTGCTGATGATGTAGATCAGTGGTAGAGCACCTACCTTTCCTGGGTAGTTGCTGCTTAAAGTCATATAAAGTGATCCTAGGGGAAGAATTTATGAGAAATTAAATCTCCACTATATGACAGCTAGATCTAAGACCCTCTTTTCTGCATATATGTACAGGTGATGTTAAATTTTAAAATAGAAAGTTGACTCTAAAAATGCTGCTGAAGAACTAATAGTGAAGATGTATGTGAAAAACCTACTGAATGATCATTTACGTAAACTGCTTTCTATTAAGGCAAAATAGGTGACATTTAGAACAGTAAGAATTGATCCTTAAAATTGCTTTTGAATATTCAACAGAGCCTTACCTTATGAAAGTACAGCCATATGTTAGACTTTCCAATTTAAATTGAGTGTTAACTGAAGTAGAAAAGGCTAGGTAACTGAGGTTGAAAGCCTGATTAGAATCCAGCATTTTAAATCTCATCCATCTGTATGCATAATGGTTCATCTCTGCCCTTTGGAAAAATTCATTCTAAATTGGAAGTTGGATGAGATAACATATGTGAAATGATTAGAGGAATAATACTGCATTGTGTGGAATCATTTGTAGATCTTATTTGAATGCTAGATAGGCTGCTCTGGCCTGCAGATATATAGGATATCCTAAGTTCAGTAGAAAGTTGATAGAAGTCGAGCATCTCTAATACTCAAAAATTTTTTGATTTTGGAGCAGTGCACATTTTGAATTTTTGTATTAGAGATACTTGACTAGTAAAGTCTGTGCAGTTTTTTCCAAATCTAAAAAAATAAAAAATTAAAGATATTTGTGGTACTAAGGGGTTCTCAACCTATAAAGAGAAAATGTATGTGTATTTGCAGGCAGCATTATATTTCAGAAAGGGAAAAGATGCTGGAGGGGTGGTCAGGAACACTGCTGGGATAAAAGGACATTTGACCTGAGCTTTGAAAGATGATTAAGATTTGGGTTAATAAAAAGATATTCTATATTGCACAGACTTAAGTGAAAAATACCATTGAAGTTACAGATATTACAAATATACCATTGAAGTTACAAACTAGGTATAAGTCGAACAGAGGAAAAGATCAGCTGGCCTCAAGCGGAGGCTCTTATATGGAAGTAATGGGAGATTGAATTTGATGAAGAGCCAGCTTTCTGTCTGGCTTAAAGTGAATACTTTCAAGCTGGGGAGTACACAATGCATATGGAAGATTTATCTGACTGTGACCTCTTTTTGCCCCTTACCCACCTGCTATTTATTTGTCTACTTTTATCTACTTTTTCCCCCAGATAAAGATCTGGAAGTCTAGAGATCACATTAGAAAGCATTTTCAGAGTTTAACAATCTTTATTCTTAGAGGAGTTTATCAGTCTTCACTATTTTGAGGGGGATGTTTGAACTCTATCTAGGCTAATAAATTGCACATTGAAATTTCTATTTGTGGCACATATCATACTATTAATATGTGTCATTGTGTTTGGGTGCCTCTGTAACTGTTAATTTTATCTAAGATATTGACTATTGAGTTCTTAGTATGTAGAAGAAATAGTAATATTGGAAACGATACCCTGTTCACAGTCTTTAACTATAATGCACGTCAGTCCTTTTTCCCTGCCTCTTTCATGTTATCTTAGGTCAACAGGACATACTGTTGTGGTACCTACCGAGCAGGTCCAATGCGGCAGATAAGTCTTGTTGGAGCAGTAGATGAAGAAGTTGGTGATTATTTCCCAGAGTTCCTTGATATGTTAGAAGAATCACCATTTCTGAAGGTAAGTGTTAATTCAGATTATTCAAGTTTTGATCAATATAAATGAACACTCCATATTAAAATGTTAAGCTAGTCTTGCCTGTTAAATCCTATGCAATGTTTTGAATAGAAATGTTTAGAAAAATATTGATATAAATTACTACATTACTATAATATTTACTACAAATTACCGTGCAGTATGGCATTTATTTCTTTGTATACACATGCAAAAAAAAAAGATTTTTAGAACTTTATTTGATACAGAGGGGTTAATAAACTGAACATTTGTAATAAACTGAACATTTTTTGAAATGTAACTCATTCTGTAACTTTTAGATGACTCTGCCCTGGGGCACACTTTCCAGCCTGCGACTACAATGTAGGTCCCAGAGTGATGATGGACCTATAATGTGGGTAAGGCCAGGAGAACAAATGATCCCTACAGCAGATATGCCAAAGTCACCCTTCAAAAGACGAAGGTAAGCATTATTTTTTTCCTAAAATACTTGAAACCACTTTTTTTTAGTTGGTTGTTTATAAAAATAATTACAACTTGGGCATGATTTTAAAACCACATTCTAGATTATTTGAAGGCTTTCCTTAAGTAAATCTTCTAGTTGTCAGTTTGTTACACGTTGTCCTAAAAATCAAATTTAACCTTTATTTCTTTTGTTAAAACCTGAGTCCCACCATACGTGATGGAGCACATCTGTAATCTCAGCACTCGGAAGGCTGAGGCAGGCAGATCACTGTGAGTTCGAGACCTTCTTGTGCTCCCTGAGTGAGTTCAAGGCTAACCTGCACTACAGAAGAAACAAGCAAAACAAAAACACCTGAATCCTAACTGCCTGAAGGATAAAAGTTCAAATTCTTTAGTGTGTTCTGTAAAAATCTTTCATAACCGAGTCTCAACAGTACCTTTATGTCTGCCTCTGTTCTTTTCTAGCCATACTAAATTGAATTTCCAAACCATAATCTTTACTTTTTGTTTTTGCTCTATACTTTTTACTTAACATTGAATTCCCCTCACCCATCTTCCTCTCTACCTAGCAAACTCTTAGTAAATTTTCAAAATCTATCATGGATGTCACTTTCTTTTTGAAGCTTTTCTTTGTTCCCTTAGACCAATGATGGTGAGCCTTTTAGAGACAAGTACTGAAACTGCAACCTAGAACCCACTTACGTAGTGCAAAGTGCCAACACTGCAATTAAGTACTGACGTTCTAAATATTTGAAATTTTAGTTTAGAAAAAATAACTCATACATTACCATCTTTTGTCTTAAAGAAAAAAAAAAAAAAAACACATGTGCCAGAGGTTGTCCATAACTGCCTTAGACAGTGATTCCTTCTTTTGTTACTCCTGCAAAATTTTGTTTATTAATGATGCATTTACATGCTATTATTTCTTACTGAATTTTGGTCTCATCGGGACTGTTTTATTCATGTCTCTCCTCATAACACATAGGTAACCAGTGTTGGCTGAATGCAATTCATAATGTGCTGTAGTACGGAGCCTTGGCAGCTTGTGTTGTGGTAATATATAAGGGGTGACTGAAAAATATGATGAACGTTTAAATTTTGAAAATTTATCATAGTAAAAGATAAATTGCCGTTATTCTCCCTCAGAATGCTACCTTTGCTTCAAACATACTTACTTCTTCATTCTTGCCAGTTTCTAAAACATTTCTGGAAGTCCTCTTTCTGAGTGTGATAAAAAGAAAATATGGTAAATGGTGTTTCCAAGTGCCGTCAAACAGAAAGGCAGGCACTAATGGAAACATTACAGTGTGTGTTCATGAGACTTACTCATTGGGTCTGGCACTGTTTAGTTCTGGGCTTTTCCCCAAAGTCAAAACAACCATGAAAGGTAAACATTTTGGGTCAGTTTAGGACATCAAGATAGCCAGGACAGTGCAACTAAAGACACAAAAAAGGACTTCTAGAGCTGCTTCAGAGGAATGGGATAAAAGTGTTTAAAGTTGGAGGAATTATTTTGAGGGGAATTAATAGCCATGTGTCTTACTGTAAGTATTTTTTAAAAAACTATATTTTCCAGTCATACTTAATTTTTTGGGGTCATGCACATGAAACGTGTAAATTAACTCACCGTAGTATTTTGAAAGTTTTTATTTCATGAGACTGAAAGTGATTTATATCAGCTTAAGCTGTAGAAGAAATAGTAAGGCAAAATAAGTGCTTGAAAATAAATTTTAATTGACTGGTCTCAAGATTAACTTAAAACTTATAGGAGAATGGCTTGAATTAAGTATAAAATAACATTAGGTACTTAAGATGATACATGAAAATACTTTGTGAAAACTATATGTGTATGAATGCCAGTAGTGGTGTGGTAAAACCTAGCAGTTACTTAAAAGATCACAGCAGTTTTTGTAAATGATGACGCAGTTTGAAATTCTACTAAATTCTTAAGTACTGTGTGCATTTTTATTGTATATTTCTGAACAAGAAATGACCATTGTTTGCTGATTATTATAAACTTAGAAAAAGATAATATAAACGAGTAAAAAGTTCAAAACCCAGCCATAATCCCATCCAAGTTTTAGTTCATTTTTACTCATATTATTAATTTTCTTTGTAAGAAATGAATTTATTCTTTATATTGTATGTACATTAAAAGGTGGGAGGTTTTTTTCTCCTTAGGTTAATGTATTAAGATGGTTTCTAAATAACTGTGTAGTTTCGCTATATAGTTATAGCAAGATTTATTTAACTAATTCTTATGTGTAAATTGTTTCCAATTTTTCAGTGTAAACAATGTTTGGATAAACATGATGGTGTGCTGGAACCACTTTGTATCTCCTCACAAGAGCCATTATTAGCATCACCTTCCAGTTCTACATTGCATAATGCTACATTAGTTCCTGGAAATTGGCCATGTTAGGAATATTTACCCTATTTCCCTGAAAACAAGACTAACTGGAAAATAAACCCTAACATGCATTTTCAGGATGCTTGTAATATAAGCCGTACCCTCAAAATCAGCCGTAATCGAGATCGATAGCCAGGCAGGCACATTTAATATGTCTGTGCCAATACATGACAGACATGAATTATAAAATAATAATATATAAATATCAATATAAATTGACAGTAATCCTGAAAATAATGATAATATCAATTATAATGAAGTACTTGTAAACACACAAGGGGGAACCTTTGAACAAGCGGTAAACGTCTCTGTAAACAGATGAACTCAAGACGTACTGCCAAATGATCAATCGCAGTACAGACACCACACACCAGTAATGTGTACACTTTGATAATGAGTGTCTAATGTGAATCTTTATCATTCAGTATGTTGTAATGATGCATGACGCACAGGCTACATGGACAAGAAGTGCTCATTTTAGGAGAACTGTATCTCTGGACATGAGAGATCGGGACCAGTCGTTCTATAGAAAATGGAGTCACAGAAAATTCAGGCTGGAATTTGGGGTTTTGTTAGGACAATGTTCCAGATGATGTGACCATATTGAATAAATGTAGATTGATGTAGATGAATAAATGTTGCACATGAATAAATGTAAATTGTTATACATGAAAAAAGGTAAAAATATTCCCTGAAAATAAGCCCTATTGGGGCTGGGGATTTAGCTCAGCGGCAAAAAGCGCCTGCCTGGCAAGCGCAAGGTCGTGAGTTCAGTTCCCGGTACCGGAGAAAAACAAAACAAACAAACAAAAAAAAAGAAAATAAGCCCTATTGTGTTTTTTGGAGCAAAAATTAATATAAGTCCTGGTCTTATTTTCAGGGAAATATGGTAGACTACAGAAATCAACAAATCCTTAGCTGCCTTCACCTCTCCACAGTCAAGTGTTAAACATGTATATCATGGGTAGATGTGTGATGGTTGATAAATATATATCTTTGTGCATTTGTGTTTGTTTTCTTAGTAGAAATTCCTAAAGGCTCAAAGTATATATCGTTTCTCCTTTCCTCCTAACCTCCTTCCCTCCCTTGCTTTCTTCCTTTCTAGTACTGGAGATTGGAACATGTTAGGCAAGTGTTCTACCACTAACCTACAAGTCCAGACCTTTGTAATTTTTATTTTGAGACAGGATCTTTCAAGTTGCCCAGGCTAACCTCTACTTGTGATCCTCTTGCCTCAGCCTCTCAAGTAAGCTTCGATTACAGGTGTGCACCAACACTCCCATCTCAAAGTATACACATTTTTAATGGATTTCTAGAAATACATTAATTTATATTCCTACTCATATAGTAAGAGAGTGCCCTTTTGTTCATACCTTCCACTAACATTCTTAACTTTGTTAAACTGATTGAAAAAAAAGCACATTTTAATTTTCTTTCCTTTGTTACTAATTCTTTGGTAATTCCCTTTTAATTTCCTTTGTCTACATTTCTATTGTGTCGTGGTATTTTGGTAAAAATTCTGTGTATATTATGATTATTAATCCTTTGTTTTTCTTACATTGCAAGTTTTTCTCTTATTTTGTCTCTAGTGTTTTTGTTGTACACTGACAGTTGTTTATGTTGATATGTAGTCAGACTTATGTATCTTTTTCTCTGAGGTTTCTCCTGTAGTAGTAGACCTGGAAGGACCTTCCTCTAGTATTACAAATCATTCATCCTACATTTTCTCTTAGTACTTCTGTAACTTCAGTATTTATATATTTAAGCTATATGAAATTGATTTCTGAATAGAAGAGGAGATTTAACTTTTTTTCTAAGGTAGTTAAGCAGCTAGACTAACACCATTTATTTAAAAACTTATTATTTCTCTACTAATTTGAAATGTCATCAAATTTTACATCCATTGGGATTAAGTAGTCTTAAGTGAAGCATTCAAAAGCACTTTGAATTAGAGTAATGAATCAGGACATAAAGAAAGATGTTATCTTTTTGTGTTAAAAGTTCTTGTTACTGAAAATGGTGGAATTGATATAAGAAGCTATCCAGTTATCAAGGGCATTGCTGTTAAAGGTGATCTTTGGATTTATGAATTCTTAAACCAGACCCACATGTTAAAAAAAAAATTATATAGTACAATAGGGCTGGTAAGGAAAAATCCTGCCCGTCTTTCCCTCCAAGGGACAAACATTTTTTTTCTACAGGGAAAGGCCATTTGTTTATAATGAAAGGTGTCTGACAAGGCTTTGACAAGGCTTTGATTCTTGGCATGATAGTTGGGTATTCGATGCTCTTACCTATATTCTGAAAAGCTAGATGGCCCTGACAATACCCTCTTCCTCCTAACTGCACATAAACACTGTTGAGGTTAATTCATATTCTGTTTTTGATGCCATATAGTTCTATTTGTTTTGTTCTTTGAGGTAAGGTCTCCCTATGTAGTTCAGACTGGCCTTGAACTCACTATATAGCCTGGGCTAGCCTTGGACTCATGGTGATCCTCCTGCCTCAGTCTCCCAAGTACTAGGGTTACAGGTGTGCACCATCATGCCTGGCCCACAATTAGGTATTAAGTGCTTTGCTGTAGGTAG